AGGTTAATGGAGGTCATCCCTACACTCTGTAGCTCTGTGTGTGTGTGTTTGCGGGCAAGTTAGACGCTCTGACACCATTCCTTCTGTGCAGCTGCAAGGCCGAATATAACATTGGCTCGGCGCGTCTACTGAAGCGAAGAGTGCTCCGCTGCAGATGAGAAAATCCTCCTCCATTCCCTTCTAATTAACTCGGCTAGTCTTTCCCCTCTCTTCTCACCCTGTTCTCCTGGTTCTGTCCGTCTTCATCCAACCCACCGTCTGAACCTCTCTGTCCTCCAGCCGAAGTCCTACGAAGCTGCTCCTCCCTGCGCCTCGCCGGCCTCTCAGGCTGACAGGGACAGACAGGAGGTGGGGTGTTCTGCGGTGTGGTGGTGTTTTGCTGTTGGTTGTGTTCCGTTTGCCCAGTCAGTAGTCCTAGTAGTCAACGGTACACTTATAGCTGGTTTCCCCCTGATACTCGTTTTATCTAATCTACAACATTAAAACAGCCGACATCATTTGGGACGGTGTTTGACTGTCGACAGTCCTCGTTTAGAGGCTTTTATTCTGAAAGCCATCTAAAATGTCGGCTCAACTTTGCTGAACGTAAAGATTGCCAAGGAAGCATCAGAAACCTCTTTTTACATCCTTTTTTGTTCTTTTTCTCAGTTAATTCAAGGCAACTCTCCTAAACAGTAGCATGACGCAATCAACAAGATTATTTCAGAGACTTGTTGGTCGTTTTGAACGACAGTCCACTCACAGTTGTACAGTCAGTGGTGTTTCTTTTCCCTCACAAATGATCTTTGGCAGGTTGCAGCACTGGCTTGCGAACAGCCAAAAGTGTCATTTTTCACTTTTTCATTGTCACTGTCACACTTCAAGCTGCCAGCAGTGTTCATTTTAACTGGCAAAAGTGACGGAGCTGAAAATGAGAAGCCTGCCACCTGACTGTTGTCTACATTACTCACTGCTAGAAAGAGTGAGGAGAGATAACAGCTTTGGGATTAATTGGCGTCAGAGCTGAACAAATCCTGTCGACCGTGAGCCGGATCCTAAATGTGGCTATCGTAACACAATACACACGGTACAACCGAACTAAGATAGCTCCCTTGAATTTATTTTATTATTATTTTCTTTTTAAATATTGCTGTACTTTTAATGCTGTGCTGTTTGTGAGTTGGCTTTGTGTTTCTAGATCGTTCTCCTGTGTTTCTGTGCAGCATGCTTCTCTTGTTGTTGCAAACTTGAGTCAAGTTATGAATTATAAGATTACAAGAGCAGGTGTTTGTTGAATTAGTTGGCGTAGAGACCCATGCTGTGTCCAAAAGGACTCCCTTGTTCCCTCATTCTCTACTCCCTATATCAGGGCTATTCAATTCACATTCAACGAGGTCCAGTTTGAGAGAATTTCCTCACGCAAAAGTCCTGAACATCACAATAATGTCTAACTTGCGCTATAATTTAAAAAAAAAAAAAATAAATAAAAAATTGCATCTTGAAATAAAGCACTTATTTTTAGAAAACTGAATGGAATTGTCCTGCAGCTTTAAATTCACTTCATTCAGGTGTGAAGTGATGTCACTCAAAAGAGCCATGATATTATATTCTTCTCATCTTCTTAAGATAGAGAGAATGATGTGCATGGACTTTCTCTGTGGTTGTTGAAACCACTTGTTTCAGCTCTATTCCTCTCTGTCAACATCATTGTTGGACAGTTTAACATTTTATGTTAAGATTCTGATCATATTGGGCTCTTAGGTTTATTTTTCTGCGCCTTAATTTCGGATGTGAGTGGGTACGTGTGGAAAGTGAATTACGTGTGTTATTCCATCAGCTTTTAAAAAAAGCTGTCTACCTATCTACATCTTACTGTTGCCGGGCAGGTTCTTCTGTTCCAGCTCAGATGAGACGGTATTTTGTTGCCGTCCGAGGCGAGATGATGTCAGAGAGGCGCCGATAACGGCTCTCTGGATTTATAGCGGACACTATTTGGCTTATTTTCTCTGCACTGTTGCTTACATCACTACTGTCGCACAAGTGCCAGATCAACGTCCACAATACTGTAAATACAGATGTGCGTTTTTGTGATGAATACATAGTTTCAGCTATTTTGTTGTGTTCTTAGTGTGAATTTAAGTAACCTCTGGTAAGCAGTGATGCATTGTACACTGTATGTCTGGGGCTTTTATGGTGAAAGGTCAAAACGGAAGGAATAGAGCGCTGTCGTTGTGGGCCAATAAGTGCATTTGCTCTAAATAAATGAATGAATACAAAGTACTTTGAGCCGTTTGTGTTGTGATGCTCTGCTCACATTTAAAAATATTATTTTCGCACCACAACATAATTGATTCTTCCCAATTGCGGCTTTCTCTCCTTTCGCCTGCCTTTCTTCCTTTAGCGCAATGCATCATGGTATATAATGCTTGGTTAGCGATCGCTTCTTCTCACGATGCATTGTGTGATGCTCTGAGTCCATTATATAATGTAATAATTCTCACTATACATTCAGACAGCAGTACAACATGGTGAACCCCACTATATATACAGTAGTCCAGTATGAAGTGATTGATTTGGGACACAGCCATGGTACTATGAGAGCAGCGTGGGTCCTTTCAGGAACACATTAGCTCAGTGCGTATTGCGAGCGAGAGAGGAAGTGTTTAGTTTCTCTCTGAATAAACGCTGCATTTCCACTGGCTTTGTGTTTCCTCATTGCTTCTTAACTTTTGAAAATGATATCAAGCCACCTTAAACATGACTCGTCTCGAACCCGTTACATTTGGTCGGCCTACATAAAACTTTTAAAACAAGCAATTTAAAATAAATCTGTAACTGTTTCCAGTTCGCCATTGGAAAGCATCTTGAGAAATTGGCAACTAATTCCTTACCGATGGCAACCACTTTTTAACATGGACATATAACTGGATAGTATCTTAAGTACTCAAAATATAGGCTAAGGTGACTAAAAATGGTTACCATATTTTCAGTTTCAGCAACCCAAACTAAAAAAAGGTTGCCAGCCCGGTGTAAAATCAACAGAAAAAGACAATCAAATCGTCCGTCCCAATTATTTGTATGACAATTAATCGTCAACTAGAATTTCCGAATTATGACGGCTCTAATCCCAGCTGTAATTTTGCTGTGATTTATTAGTGATGGTTCCGATGGGAGTATAATACTAGTAGCCTGCTAATGCTGCTGGAAAAAATTGTCTAATGAGCTCATAGTGTCAGACACTTGGTGCCTGCCACAGCCTCAAAGATAATATACTCTAGATTCACTGATGATGTCAACAGAAGTTCAGCCAAAATATAGCCGATGCTCTGTGCTGAAGATGAGCAACCGAAGATGTCAATCGGTGTGAACGGAATAGACGCCAGTATCTGTATTTCTGTTCATGTGTGAACAGTTGCCATTGTTGCTTCCATTCCACTGCCATGAAGTCTGCGTAAAAAATACTTCAAAAGTTCAGATTCAAGCGAAAAAAATAAAATAATTATCCCCGAAGGCTAGCCTTGACATTTGGCTCAGTCTCTCTGTGTTTGCTGTGCACTGTGTTGTGTTTGGCTTTTTAATATTCTAGTCCATTAGTCTGAAGTAAAAAAAAAAAATAAAAAAAATACAGAATGCACGCTCACAAAAGATAGTGACTGTAGAATAATGATAGATCCATCCTGTCAATCTTCATGCTGATTTGCATCATTGTAAATATTGATGATTATATAGTATTGTTTATCATGTTCTTAAGACAAATAACCCCAATCATAAATAACTACTACTACTGCACATAAACAGCCAGTAAATGAATTGCATTGAGAGTGGTGACAGAGGGAGACGCGGAGAGAATCAGACCGTTATTGTTATTATAATGGCTAGATTGTAGGCTGCAACCCGCTAAGCTAAAGCTGCTCTCTTTGGCAGCCTGACAGTCATTAGCTAAAGCCTGTTGGTGGCTGGCATCAGCACCGGCTCATTTGCATACAACAAAGCAAGACGGAACCATTAACCTGCAAACACTACATCAACTCTCCGTACGCTAATAATGTCTGCACATTAGATCTGCATTGTGAGTGCATTAAAATCACATTACTGAGCGAGATCTAATTGTTTTCAACCTGCTATTAGGTACAAGAAATCATTACCATTAGGCCCCATGTTCCCTCCTTTGGAATATTGTAATGGTTGTCGAATGGTGATATAATGAAGAAAAGTGCCTTCTTTCTGCATGCTTAAGCAGTATTATATGCTAATTATGGTATTGCAGATAACAGAAAGTTATCACTGTAAGATATGTTGCAGAAATAACTTGCTGTATCTACACCGTTAAGTATATGAATACAGTATTAAATCATAATTACATTGGGGTTCAGTCAGATTAAGTTTATAGGAATGTGCATTATTACTGATATCATTAAAAGCCATATTGGCCTGACCATCAATTGAATTGGAGTAGAACGGACATTGAGCGGTTTTCCGTGGTCACTCATGAAATAGAAAATGGCGATTGTTTTTAGTTGTTATGGTGACAATAACACATCAGTGGGCTAGCTAACTAGCCAGCTGTGCATTCAATTGTGGGGAAATTAGCAAGCTAGCTAAACAAGCCAGCTGGCCATTAAAGCATGGTGGAATTAGCAAGCTAGCTAAATAGCCAGCTGCCTGCTAGTAAGATAGCTAGCTGGCTAGCTTGTAACGTTACTACTCTACTGTTTGTTTTAGTGGTCACTGCAAAACTCCCCTCAGTGAGTCAGCGACTTTCAGTAAGTGGATTTAGTTTATGTGGAAGTTAGACTGCTACAATGGTCACATAAAAAGTTACATATAAAAATGGCCGCCACTCTGACCATTCTGCTACTTCGATTTGAACAGAGATGTCCCATCTACTGTTCTATTTCTATGGGCCCAACCTTAGTGTGTGTGTATATGTGGCTTTAGTAGATGCTATGACAAACATGTAAAGTGCAGGCTGTTGCAAATATGCCACTTCTTACACCATCTTTCCCTTTTTTTCTTCCCAGAAGGAGCGTGAAAAGAAAAAAGAGGAGAAGAAGAAAGAGAAGGACGTTGATAAAGTGGAGAGGCTCAACAACACAAAGGTACAAGTAACGTTCGTAATAGATTCCATGTAACCTGGAAAACAGTCATTTGTCATAGGTTAAAGTTGGTTAAATACTACAGGTCCCAGAATTCTGGGGGCAGAAATGCAAATGTAGAGGAGCTTGGTGTAACATGTATTCAACCCTCACACCATGATTGGGCGTGGTTTAAGACCCGTCAGTGGCCCGGGCGTTTCAGAGCAGAGACAACGGCTCATTTTTTCACAATTTTGAAACCTCACTGTAAATACTTGCCAATTTTTTTATTATTCAAATGTGTCTGGGTGGCTAATAACACATTTTTCTTTGGAATGAAAAGGGGTCAGCAAAATGGTTCATGGATCACAAATGCATGTGCACATCACTGTTAAGCTGTAGGTATAGAGGTTCTTGGCTCTCGGTAGTGGCTGAGGATTTTGTCAGTAAGGGCCCTTGAATTCAGTTTTAGCCATAAAAAAACTCCCTTCTGAGTGCACCTGCAATAACAAGACGAGACGTAGAACATTCGTATGCGGTGCGCTGACATTGATTGCGTTTCATGCACATTGCTGTTTAAGCGTTGGCGGAGGCCAGAAAACGGGGACAAAGAGAAGTGTGTCAGTGTGCTGCCATGAATGCGTGATGTGTGACAGCAGTGTCGCTCCGCCTCTGCGACGCAGGATCCCAATGCTCAGGGGAAACTTCTCATAAACATTCATGTCGCTCACAGATGCTTTAGTTTGGCTCCATGCATCAGTATGGATCATTTCTCATTCATGCACAGGGGGCGTGAACACATGAACTATGTTTCAAAAACTATATCATCCATGAAGAAGTGAAACATGGAACCTCAGCTGCATCAAACAAGCTTTATTTTCAACATATCTGTAATCATTGTTGCTTTCTGAGCACTCACATAAAAAAAAAAGTGTTATGTCACTCAGAGTAATACGTGAAGCCCTTGCTGCTGGCAGATTTATCTAAATTTAGCTTTTTTTCTTTTCTTCTTTTTTAAATGTAGATAGGCTGTTAACGCTCACTGCACCGGAGAAAGACGCCCTGACGTCACGTGAGGCTACTTGCATCACATTGTGATTCAAAATGTAAATCTGGACGATTGCTGGAAAGATAAATGAAAAGCTTAACCGACTGCCACGTGTTAAGAAATGCGTTTTGAAATGAACCAGGGTTTGAGCAGAATGTAAATCCAGCTCGGTCCGAACAGAATGAGCCGCAGTAACGCACACATCCGCCGACCTCCGTCCACACGTCAGCGTGTGTGTGTGTGTGTGTGTGGGTGTGGGTGTGTGTGGGTGTGTGTGAAAGAAAGAGAGGGGGGAGCACTAAAGGAGTGTATGTGTGTGTTTCTGGGTCATGGTTAGTAAATTCACAATATTTCCATGGCCTGCGAAGCGGTGAGGGAATATTGTAGCTCTCAGATGTGTGTGTGTGTGTGTGTGTGTGTGTGTGTGTGTGTGTGTGTGTGTGTGGTAGATGGACTACAGGGAAATGGAATGAAGGCTATGGGCATCGGTACCCACTGAGAGTGTAATGTAACACAGTGGTCTCCGTTGCATTCATTTCTCACTCGACCTCCATCTGCTCATAAACTGGACTCTTTAGCCTTTTTATCGCCCGTTAAAGTACACGGTTTCTATTCTCTTGCAATATTCCTGTCCCGATTTATGTTTGTGTGACTCTCTTCTTTGCGTGTGCAAAGGAAGATTGCACGAAAGTGTGATGGAGAAGCTTTATTTTTCAGGTGTTTCATTTGCTGTACAAGCCCAAAACACAGACATTCCTGTCTGGTTGTTTTATCTGCAGTTTCTTTACTGATGTTTCTGAAAATGTACTATGGTGTATCATGAAACGGCAACATGGCTCATGGGTTGTAACCTCGACCATGAATCACCACGTCATCAGTTTAAAACCATTGTTGCATTTCCTCAAAAATAATTAGAAAATAAGATTTACTATGTCATCATGTCTGTTGTGGCGCTCTAGCTAATAATTGTTTACATTATTGATTAGGAGTGCATCTGGACCAGGAGGCGACCTCCGGGTTCTGACGAGTACAACTAATGTGGAAGTGTCTTAAAACTTAAAATAGTCTTCAAACAGCAGGAGGCAACTCCTCTGGTTGCAAAAAGAAGTCTGATTATATGGAAGTCTATGAGATCCTACTTCTCTCTTGATTTACTCCCTCAGTAAACATTGTAAACATGAGTCTATGGTCTCAATCTCTAGTTTCAAGTGTTCTTCAATACAGCAAGATGTTCATTCAGTACATTGTGGTTCATTTAGAGTCAAATAGACCATAAAGGGTATGCTTTAGGGCGGGCTTACTGTCATTGACAAGCCGTATACGGCATCTCTACGTCACCCCTTCGCAGTCCAAATATGGTCACTTCTGTTCATCTATTGCAAAAAAGCCAAAATGACGACGGCCGTATTCCAAGAGGGCGACGGTAAAATCGCCGAAATCGAGGCTTCGTAATGGCAGTCCACAAACCAATGGGTGCTGTCATGATGACTACGTCTACATATATGATCTATGATCGTGACACATAAGGCAGGCAACAGTTTCCAGGGCGAAACTCGGGCTTGTTAACTCTGGTTCCACATTACGTGCATCTATCTACATACCATGTATGTAATGGACCAGACCGTGACCCCAGTTCTGTTAAGTATAGATGAAGATTCTCCTTTTTTCCTCTGAGTTTAGGAGTAATGAGGGAATTGTTGATGAGCTTTTCCCACCAATGAGGTACAAATATTGTCCCCTGCAGTCACAAAATGCACAATTAAACCCAAGTCTATGGCATCGTTGAAAAAAACCACAACCTAAAAATCATCACAATGTCTTTGCATTACAGACGGCCAACTCGTGTGCGTGCCTGCTGTTAATCCCAGTCTTGTTTTTAGTGGAGTTTTGAAATACTTTGTCTCAGGTTACTGTATCCCAAGCTGGTGTGAAGACTGCCGATGTGCTGCGACCAATTTGCTCAAGTGTCAGAAGAAAGTCAATGTTGAAAATAAATATTGCTTTCTATTTGAATGGAATCAAAAGCAGTGTGCATGTGATTATTTCCAATCGGTGAAAACACATTTACCTCCAGACTCTTTGGATATTGTTACACCGTCTTCCTGAATAAACCAACCAACGGGGCCTTTTTACAACTGTGTGCCGCTGCTCTTAAAGCTGTTAAGATTGCCTGCCTGACTCAGCCTTAGCCTTCATTGGCATCATATCAATCAGAGTGGGATGCATCCATATAGCCATAGACTAACAATCTAAGAATACTTATTGTTTTGTTAGCTTGGAATGAGCCCTTAATATCTACACGGAAGTGGTCTTCTGCACAGAGTCCTCAATGTTTCTACAGCAGCCCAGAACAGACGAACCAAACACTGACTCCAGAGAAGGCCTTTTGTGTTTTTACTTTAGCTGAAGCTGTCGGCCCTCCGTCAAGCTAGGAAAGTAAGGAGTGGGCGGAGGGGTGTTCAGTTTCTCACCACTAGATGCCACTAAATCCTACACACTGCTTCATAAAGCTTGTGTTAACCGCATTTCTAATTTCAGGCATCTAGCCAAAAACCCATTAAAAAAACAACAATTGGACTCTGGTTTTATGATGTAATTTAATGTAAAAAATATTTTTTATTCAATCAATATTTAATGTAATAAAATGATATACCGCCTATAAAAAATGATTTACCTTTAAAGAAATACTGTTGTCAATGTGTATTTTTCAAACTTTATTATTGATTTATCCATAGATGCTTTTACTGTTGATGAAAAGCTAAAGGTGTCACGAAAATGTAAATATGTAGCTCTTTTCTTTAAGTTTGCTAAACATTTGAAGTAAAAAAAATGGTAATATTCCGGCACCTGGGGCGGCAATAAAATACTGTAAAATAAGGGTAAATAACTGACCCATAAAAGTACAGTTTCTATTATTGAAATATAGTTTTTTGCTTTCATTTTACAAGATATCTCTTGTATTTTTTGGGCTATTTCAAATTTAATGAAAGATATTTACACTTGTGAAAATAATTAAATCATCTATAAATATGGTTGAAAACTTTAATACAAATAATCAGGCTTAAAATTGCAGAAGATTACCGTTTTAGTAAGGTTTTATTATATAATTGAATGTAAAAAAAAAAAAAACTTTTATATTCAACCAATATTTAATGTAATAAATGACATACCACCCATACATTTCTTTTTTTAAATAAGGTGAAAGTACTGTGGTAAATCTGGTAATCAGGGTTATATTTACAACAATATACTGACAAGGAAACAGAAGGTGAAAAAATGCTTACTAATTTCCGGGTTTTAGGACTCATTCCTGCAACACTTTACTGGACAATATTTAACCTGCTGAAAATAACGTCGGATGAGTAACAAAGCTATTACAATTCATTGTCTTAGGAAAATGAATGTCTGAATCAAATTTCACGGCAGTCCCCCAAATAGTTGTTTTAGTCCAATCCAAAATGGTCAGCCTCATGGTGGCTCTAGAGGAGAAAGGAATCTCCAAAGTCATTAGCATGCGTCCCTTGGGGGACCGTTAATGTCTTTACAAAATGTTATGGCAATCCGTCTAATATATAGCATAATATTTCAGTCTGGACCAGTCAGGACCTTGGCTCTTTTATAGTATATTCAGAGTATTTTTGAAATTGTATTAATGATTATTATTATTTAGTAGCCAACAACAACAACAAACGTATTGTCAGCCAGTACAGCACCGCCCAAGCCATTGTTAAACAGGTGGTTTAAACAGATAGATGTATTATCTGGGGATTGTAGTCTCCATCCAACGACGGAGCATGAAACACACACACACACACACAGTTTTCCATTGCTGCTAAAATGGCAGTCGATACATACGTGTGAAAGAGAGAGGAAAGGGAAGAAAGACTCTGCAGCCATTCTCTTGAACTGCTGACATGTTACACATTGATGTTTGCATGTGTTTGTGATGCATGTTTGCAGGAACGTGTGTGTCAGT